TGGTTAAAATAAAAATAAAGCACGAGTGGCGAACTGATAATAATTGGCGCAACTTGTAGCCAAATAAATGCGACGTGAAGAAAAAAATATCGCGTTATTTTACAACTCCGATATTGATATTTAGCACACTGAAGTTTTGCTGAATATTTCTGTAAAATCTCAGATGTCACATCATTCTCCTGCACGCGATTATATGTATTAATATTTTATCATTCTTTAGATTTAGCTTTTTACATCCACATAGTCGTTAATCACTAATTCTATATCTGATAATTTTATATTTACAAGTAGCTAAAACTAAAACTGTCTTTATATATCGAAAGAATGATATTTTACATTTCACATATATTTTCGATTTTTTCGTCTCGTTTATTTTTTGAAATTCAATTTTTTTTTTTCACTACTATCTCGTATATTATATATGCAAATATTAAATTCACACACTAGCGTGATTTATTCTCGCGCTCCGTAATATAACCCTGACCGTATAAAAAGATCAGCTACGATATCTTAACCAAGTCTTCATGCGGCTAAGCAAATAAGAAATGTTGCCCTTCTTATCTCTTGTCATACGAGATATCTACCGTGTTACAAGATTTTCGAAACGACACGCATCTTTACATATATAACTTAAAATATTTCCTATATATAATGTTCTCACTGTGCATATTTTCTATAACTAAGAGTTAAGCCCGCTTTGGAAAATGTTTAATTCGTGACAGAATTCAGTATAGAATTCTATTTATAAACTTATGTGTCGTATAATACAGAAAACAATTTAAAGAAGGAAAATATACACTGTATATAAAATATAGATTAGAATATACAAACATTAAAATATATATGCTGGAACATAAAATTATAAATAGAATTCTGTCTTGATTTTTTTGCGCGAATTATAGATCGTTAAAACGGAACTTATCATAAGAGAAAAATGAGAGAATTATTTTGATACCGTGGCAGTGATATTTGATTAAAATTTTTTAACGATTAATCGCAAATTAATCAACATAATTTTATTTCTCACTTGATCACAAGTACCCTAATGAAATTTGATCTCAAGATTTAATTTTATTCATTATATCTAAAATGAAAAAAAAAAAACTATGGGAGGATTTTTCGCGTTTAATTCAATCTCTGATACTTCAAAATTCAGCTTCATCACATTATCGATTTGTGTCGTGGAATTCCAGATCGTATTGACTTCCGCGATATCTGTCGAACAAACGCGCACGCACCCTTTATCCGATGCGTTTACTCATCTCGGAATTTATCGTGCTCATCTTTGCCTGCAACATTCTCCTCCTGCTCTTTCGCAGGCCATCGTGAGAAGCGTCTTATCAGCTCGGTGGATTCAGATAGTCCTACGGCAGCAGGGCTATAACCCCGTCGACATTAAACTCGCTATATTGGATTTCGCGAAATTCGCACTCCTCGACCGAGAAGAACCCTACATCTTTCTCCGGTGGCAAATACAAATGGCGTAATATCTGTCGCGCATTTATCTCTTATTTATTAAATAAACTTGTCGCGCTATGTAATTCCGATGGGTTGATCTGGGATTCCTTCCAGGAACGATCAAAAAGTTGAGATATAAAAATCTCGTTAAAAAAAGAAATTAATTAACTTCTTTCTGTTATGCAACAATAAATTTATATCGACTTGTATATTTTCTTTCAGTCATAGTATATTATTTATCAAGGGAAATTCTCGAAGTCGATCTCACATATTGATCTCTTACCGATTGTCTAAATAATCATCGCGATTGTTACATCTCGCGGGAGAGGAAGAGCTCGAGATCGAGATTACGGTCGGCAACGGCAATTAAATAAAAGTGCGGCGAAGGTTCTTAGAAGAAACCCGAGATCGACTATTGAGCTCCCCGTGCAGCCGTTACGCACGCATAGAATATGCGTGCACCCACACGCCCGTTCGCCGTCCATAAAGTCGCTCTCGATTCTTGTTAGTGTGACGTTACGTCATTGAGCATTACTTTCCTCAACGTTAGACCATCATCATGCGTGCCTGCTAAGCGCATTATAAAATATACGTAGAGGCCGCAGTAAATTCTCCCCCTGTCGCAGTAACAATGAAAAAAAAAAAAAAACAGAATCATTCGTTTGCGCACTCTTGCTTATCTTAACATAGAACAATAGAGTTTCGGAATTAAAAATAATGACGTTATATCCCGCATAATCGAGAGATCATTATTGAATCGTAAACATCAAGGAATATTGCTTTTTTTTCGCACGAAACTTTTTTTAATATGTTTTCTAGATTCACGATTAATTTTGATTACATCTCGGGCCATATCGTAATATTTGTGGAATGTGGTATATATTTTTTATTCCGATCTGTCCACGCGCGTGACCTTTCATAGTTTTGTCGCAGGAAGGTTCCTTGCGTCTATATAACACGTACCGATCGCCATCGGTCATTTACATTGTGAAACGCATTAAGCGGGACGCGGATCGCACGGATCGCTGCACCGAGCATGTAATTGCACGCAGCGCGTGCCCGTCTAATACCGTTTTCTCTCTCTCTCTCTTTCTCTCTCTTTTTCGTATTTAGTGGTTTACAAAGTACCCGGTTGCACTTGGTACACGCGAACCATCCGGGATACGCGCAACCAGTTTTTCACGAGAAACGGTCTCGTATTGCATCGGATGGACGTCGCACTTAGTACGATGCACTTAAGACGCATCCTCGTGCCCGTCGAGCTCGTGTCAGATGTACGACACATCCTAAGACAATCGAAACCGTTAGAGGCACATATTTACGGCATCGTCGTTGAAAAATGCACTCGCGCGACCGCTTATTTTTACTGTTAATTGTTAGAAATTTTACGGAATGTAAAACGAAAGTATTCGTCGCATAATGATTGGGAAAATTTAAATATTTTACTCGCGTTGGTAACAATTTTTTTCTCCCTTTATTCTTCCACTTTATATTTTATTCGTGTGTTGTTGAAAATATTATAATTCGATCGTCGTCAATACTCGACCTTTACGTCATAACCTGCCTCAATGTTACGTAAATGTAAATCGCCTAAGCAGATTTCGCGAGGGTCAGATCACATTTGGTGTCGAGTATCTCTCGTTGTTGCGCTGCAAATTTTGTATTCGTTACAACTTTGCCGGCGAATCGGTATATATTGCTGATTGCTGGCCATGCACTTTTGCACGCGAGTCGCAGTTTTCCTATAGTTATTCACGTGCCGTTCGCATATGCTACAGAAAAAACATGGGACTTCAATTTCAAACTAAAAATTCGAGCTAAAATATTAATCGAATTTATATACTCTAAATTGTCAAATTTGTATTTTTCTTATCTTTATTAGATTATTAAAATTTCTGTCAATCTAATATATATATATATATGTGTCTCGAAATTGCGACGAAATTTCGCGGACGCGCTTATCGATGTTTCTTTCTCCTGTCGTGCAGCGACCAGATTTGGAGGATACCGTCGTAAGAGAGCATCACGGGAATCGTCGACATCGCGAAGGTGTGCCTCTGGACACGTACGGTATGCAGAAACGTGCCCGAAGCACCGCGCGACTGCTCAAGGTCGCATCCGTATTGACATCACACCGCGAACGTACGACGGTGGTTTCGTTTGTTTTAAGCCGGGCCGCGCTTCTTTACCTTGTTTGGAACACGTTAATGCGCGTCCAGAGATAAAGTACACGTGCGCGATGCACGCGCATAATTATATACGTAATAAAAAAAAAACATTTCTACTCATTACGAAGAGACTATCCATCAGCAATATCCATCGTTTCGTTCAAATGATAGCGCGATAATAAAATGTATATCAAAATGTGTAATTATTATACGAGTAACGAATAAAATTATATATTTAGTTGTAGTTGTCAGAAGCACGTGGATAAAATAAATAAGGATGTTAGCGTGTTTAAATACATGCACTTTTGTAACCAAAGTCTAATTGACACGTCATCACTTTGGCTTCCGGGCGAGCGTCATTTTCCGGAACTTTTCGGGGGGGGGGGGTAGTTCTCCGTCTGGGTGACTCGCCCGCATTCTTCGCCTACAAGATAACGCGACGCTTTAGAGAGAAAGAGAGAGAGGCGTGCTTAAGTGGCGTCCATCCATAACTCACTTCGTCGCGCCGTGCGCCCCTAGAAGGCATCGTTATACCGTTTCGTTTCAGGTAGACCCCCGGCCGCGTTCGAGTGGCCGGCGAGCCGAGACCAGGTATAAACAACTCGTCGTATAATGGTAATGGTAAAAAGGTAATGGAGTAGCCGTGTTGTTCCGGCCACTTGTATGCGGGGTCATCCGCAGCGGGGGGGAAAGAAAGAGAGAGACACGCAACGAGAACTATAATCGAGAGGGTGAAGGTGCCCCTTTCGGGGCACGCGCCCGCATTCGCAGAGTCGAACCGCGACTTCCGCTCTCCCCCGCGAGAGTCACCATCCGGTGTCTCCGACGCGGAACGCCCGGTAACTGTCATCGGTTCGCGGCCACGTGTTCGCTTCAGGAAAACGAGAGAATATTCAATTTGTGTCACGACCATCTAATTTCAAGCTTCGCGTACTTTGTATTACGCAATACGTTTACACGTGACCCGTAATAAAAAGCAGAAGTGACTCTCCGGGGTGTCTCGATCACGCCGCTTTAAATCCCATGGGTAGGGGCGTATTTATTCGCGCGAGACGTGATCCATGCGCGAAACACGAGGCGCATGAGTCGCGAGCGAGGACGTTGCTACGATTATTTACGTGATTATTTATTCAGTTTTTCGTAAATAACTTTGAAACAACAACTCGAGCGTTTTTAAATATCTCATCACTAGTACTGTCATTACTGATGCTATATTAAGCAGATGAGAAACACAGTGTGTTGATCATTAGTAATCAATTTCCGCTACTGTTATAATTATTACTAATTAGTTTCCCTTTTACTCTACATTCGGTTTTCGTCAGGATTAACTTAAATGTTTCCGTTCTGTATATAATATGCTCTTTCTTGTTACAGCTCGTCGTATCGGCCGATGAGTAGCGTGAGCACGATGGGCATTGGGACCGGCACAGGGGGCACCTATGCCCTCCCTTACATGACGAGCAGCCCTACAGAGCTGGCGACGTCGCCTCAGCTTTGGAACACTCAAGGTATGTATCGGTCGCGGAGATAATTGACACGATAAGTTTATGTCCTTGCCCGTCTGACGTATTAGACGGACTACTAGCATTCCTGGCGATAGTCCTGCATGCGAGTCATCGAGAAGCTTAGAAGTTTTTTAAGAGATTGCAGTTTTTGTAAAGAGATTCATTGTTAAAATGCAAAAGAATATTTTCATTCTCTTGTTGTATCTCTTTTCAAGTATAATCATACATGCCATGTTTCGTTAAAAATTTTATTTAGCAGAATTCAGAAATATATATACAACGTGTTATTGTTTATTACCGATATGTATTATCGCATATCAGAACTTTTTTTAATTTTATTTAATTCGGATTAGTTATGATTAATTGTTTATCGTTCAATCATATACACAAACACACATAGTTTCAAGTGGATTTTGACACGGAATTTTCTAATCTGATCTACAAAGGTATACAACTCATTTGAGAGAATGCGCAGTAAATAAGACCTCCATGGTGACATTTTAAAGAAGAAAAGATTGCGTCTCTCTCAAAAAAAAAAAAAAAAAAAAAAAAAAAAAAAAAAGGGAGAAAAAAAAAAAAAAAAAAAAAAAACAAATAAAAATGGATGAAGAAAAGCTGCGGTTAAAAGGACACCCCGTGGCGCTTTGAGACGATCTTCGGTTCGTCATACACCTTTTTTTTTTGTTTCTTTCTCTCGACAGGTCTGAGCACCGGACTTTCCATTGCCGAGGATTACGGCAGCAGCAAATCCTCGGGTACGGTGTCCCATCAATCCTTGCCGGCGTTCTCGCAGCCTTTTGGCGCGCGATCGAGCTACCGTTACAGTCCACCTTACGCGACATCTCAACAAAATACCACCGGCACCGCCGGCGCCGCCGTGGAGGCCGCTTCCTGGACGTACGCGTCGCCCACGAGCGATCCGCTGACAACGCAATACGGAGCATTTCCGAAACGGCAGACGGTTAATTCGGGGACGGCGCCGACGCAGCTCAGCGCCGCGGCAAGCCTAACCGCAAGTGAGTCTATCCTCTTTTTTTCTCTTTAATCAAACGGCGCAATTTAATACTTCTTTTTATTTACGATCGAGCGGAGTTATGATGTAGCTAGATGTAGCGAGATTAGATATAAAATTAGGATTAGTGGAAGAATCCTCTTATTAACTCTTTTAATGTCTTCTATTTTTGTGGAATAAAACGCGAGATTACTTTTTTTTAGAAAAATAATTTCTTTCATCCATCACACACAATTTTACGAGGATAGAAGGTTGACTTTTTTTCCCTTCTCGTGGCATTAAAAGGGTTAATAAGAAAATTTGATTAAAAGCAGGTGGATCGCATATAATTCATCGTAAAACTATAAGTGAATTAATAATCACCTCAGCCGTTTCGCAAGAGAGCGTGAAGAATTCTTATTAAATCCGTGCAAAGATAACGGATTTACTTGTATCGCTTCTGAAAATTCATCGATGTATGCAGTGATCGCCGCGTATTCTCACGACTTAGATTAATCAAATCGCGACGTTCGTGTCTCCGGCAATGTAGGGAATCGGCCGGCCAGTCTCGCGATAACGCGAACGTGTGCTGGATTTTATTCGATTCGTTGAAATTGACGAGAAACATTCTTCATAGTTTATTAATCATCGCGATTTGTTTGCTGGATGTATATCATTTTTTCACGCGCAATTCCAGCACTTTGTGATAATACGTTCGAATCTTTATCTTCTATTTCATAGCAATTAATATGACTGTTTCATTAAGCCATCCTCAAGAAATAATTTTTTTTTTCCTTTATTAAATATTTCTCGCACGCGTACGCCTTAGCAATTTCTTATTTACATTTATGAAATATTGAAAATCTTATTAAAAATACAAAATCATTTTTCATAATAATCATAATCCACATATTTTTACACCTACATCATTAGACTCGCAAAATTCCTAGTTCATTACTAGGTATTTCAAAATATAAATTGATTAAATATATTATAAATAAATCGTAAAAAAATACGATGAAAGGGGGCCCACGAGCTTCATAAACTAAGATAATATTTCTCCTCGTTTTTTTCCCCCTAAACTCCGACACATTCTTCAATTAATTTTCCCCGAACAGTCCGTAACACGAAACCGCAAAGTGCAGGGTAACGTAAGCGAGCTGCAAGTGACCGATCAGTAAGCAACCCCTCATCTGTGGTGGTCCTTGAAAAGCCAGAGACTGCCCCTGTGGCCGTGTTGCGCCGCATGCGTCCCTAAAGTGGGCGGTATCCTTTGATGCGACTGATCCTTCGTCGCGCGCGTCTGCGTCCGTACGGAAATAAATGAAACGCCGGCGTTAAAGCGACACACGCGAGCTCGGTTTCGTGCGCGTGGATATCGTCAAGCGTGAGATCGGTGGGCGTGTGCACGCACACGCTTCCTCGAGCTCTCGAATTCCGCACTCGCGACACGCACGTTGTTTTTTCATTCATTTATTTTATTTTATTTTATTTTATTTTATTTTTTTATTTGAGAACTTTGTTTAATTAATCGCTATTTTATTTCTATATCATTAATTTTTCGTGAGAGAGAACTTTCTCGTTAATTGTATTACGAATTATCTAGATTGATAATCTTGCTCGTCGAATTTTATTCCTATAATTTTCCAGCGATTTATATATAATTTCGGGCAGTGAGACAATATTTCCTCCTTCTTTGTCATATGATAAATTGACGCGAAGCTAAGCTCTAGTAATGATCGACGGCGTGTCGTGTTGCGGTCGTGATAAATAATAAGGTAAAAGGATTCGATGTTTCGTTACTCGTGAAAAATCGAAGAGCAGAGAAGGATCAGCTCACCCGATCCGGGTGGCACGTATAGTCACACATAGTTGTGACTAATTCGTCCACTAATAAATTAGGGTGGTCCAGGCAGACCACTCTCGAATATCGCGTTTCAGTTTTCCCTTACTTGGTCCTACGTCAGCCCTGCTGGTGATATTTCTTAAGCGCGACTTTTTTTTAGTTTACACCGTAGTAACTATTTATGAGTAACGTTAAATCAATATCGGATGATCGATGAGATAGGTGGTGCATATCTTTTACGAATTTATATTCGTTATCGCGAGAGACCGAAGATTTATCGTTCGTGCTGGCTGTACTGACCTGTTGATTTTGTAAACGAAAGTCGGTGATATCAATCCGCGGTTTTATTATATTTCGTTGGTTGGTCGAAAGTGGATTAACTAATAAACATAATAAACTTTTTTTTTTCAACTCACACAATCGATCATGTGTAATATTTGTTTCTCGCTAATTTTTAGTTGTTATTTTAGTTTAATTATTATGGTCATCTTAATTTAAAAATATTAAGTTTTATTTTTATGTCACGCTGTAAAAATTTAATTGTAATTTAATGGATTTTTTTTTTCGTAGAGTAGGGGAATATATCTATTTTTTTTTTCTCGAAATCAGTAATATATATATATTTATTAATTTCTGGAGCGCATTTCTCGCCCTTTCACTTCGTAGAAACGTCCGGTGCCGGCGACTTTTCTCTCGAGTTGCGAGTTTGTTCTTTATCGTCTACAATTTCGGGCTTCGCGGTAGCCGGTCTCATCGTCGTCCGCGGCACCTGTTCTCGTCACGCGCGCTATCGAAGGAGGCAGCGAACATTGATACGACCATGATCTAGGTTGTACGAACGGGCCTAATCTAGTTGCGTTAACGCGCGATACGCAGAGGTAGTAATGATAGGGCTGTATCTAGCGGGGGCGCGTCGGTTTACGATAATTCCACCATAAATATGTATATCCCTCGGACGTAACATCTCTCTTAGGTATCTAATCTAAAACCGGTCAGTGACACGCAGTGAAATTGACGGTATCGGGAATGGAAGAGACATATCGTCGCATTCTTCTCCGAGATAATCGGATCGCAATTTTATTGTTGGAATTTTTTTTGCGAAAACATTCGCTTCCTTGTAAGATCTCATCTGTAGAAAAGCAAACGCGAGAGATTCATGTTGGATCTACAGTCTTTAAGAGGCTACGGATTATAAGATATTCAGTGAATCAAGTGCTGAAGAGGCATATCATTCTTTTAAGCTGATGTAAATTAAAATCGCGATGTGTGTGTCTTTATGTTTCGATCGAGGACTCGTGGCAATGAAATATCACGTTTGCCGGGCGTGTCATACAGAGGATAAGTAGTTCGATTAAAACGCAAAATCTTTGTCGTTCTCTTTTTAAATACCTCCTCGTTATCGTTCGCAATTAATTCTGACTCTTATGCAAGCTCAAGTTCACGACCAAGTCAACGATATCACGCGCGGCTCGTTATTCTCCTTTTCCCTGTTTTCGGGTAATAATTAAGACTCGCTGTCCTGATAACAGCTGGCGCGAATACATAGTAACGTTAATTGAACGCGTCTCTTCGGGTTGAATTTATTTTAGATACTAATAATGACGCCAAGATAAAATGTTGGCTCCTTCGAAGTTCACGGAGGTCGCGATCAGACTTTTATCCGCGTGACGTAAAAATTCACTTCGTTACGAGAGAGCAATGTTTAAGTTGAAAATATATTTTGCCGAATCTTAAATTTTCTTCATCGAAATATTATGTTCACATCGAGAGAGTATCTTTGGCGTTTTCTTTTTTTATAGCAAAAAAATGTGTGTTTTGCTTTTTTTTAACACTCGAGATGCATGGGAACGAATTAGAGTCGCGTCTACGAATCGTTTTTCCCATGTTCGAGTCAAGTGTTTCTGTTTTGACTTTTACATTTCCCATGGCTATCCTCTACACGATATATCACTTTCATTTATAATTGTATTATAACATAATTAGCGAAAATTGTATGCAATAGAGATTAAAATAATTGAAACATTTAAATTCAAATATCCAGAAAAAAAGGGATGGCGAGGTGCTCATCTCTAAGGGATGTATCGGTCGGAGAAATTGAAAAGATCTTAAGTGGTTCTTCAGGGGCTAGAGTCTGCGATTATACATGCCGCACCATCCGGACTCTATTCCGACAGACCAGAGAAAGAGAGAGAGAGAGAGAGAGAGAGAAATGCGCCTTTTAACATACCGCGACCTCGAGTATCTCGAGTCCGCGAGTTCATCATGTATTTAAGTTTAACCGCGCCAGACACGCGTATTCCCCCGCCTACCTAAAGGAGGGAGCATCTCTCTTGGCATGCTTTCGTATACGCCGTTATAACGTCGGTGCAAGAGCACCGCGAGAGCCCTGCATCATCCTGAAGGACCGTGCACGTGGCCGTCCGTAAATTAATCTGAAGGATTGATCCGAAAATTTTCTTTTTTAAAACCATGCATCGCGCAGCTCGCCTCTTTTTTCACTTACATCTGCATTTATGATCGGCATGTTTCAGATCAAAATAAAATTAACGTAGCATTCATATCGCTCTCTGTTTCTTTAATTAAATAAAATTGCTTTTTATATAAATATAATAAAATTGTTGAAAACGTCAAAAGTTTCGTGACGGAAAAATAATTCTCGATTCTTATAATAACGATTGGATATTGAAGGATAGGAAGGTCGAAAAGAGAGTCATAAATAAACAATGGCAATTGCAGTGCCTGCACACCTGTCGCCAACCGGGCATGCAGGTACATACGCTGCGTCGGGAAATTGATTGAGCTTTCTCAGTATGAAATAACAAGTATCGCGAGGCCGAGGGCAGATTAGCGAGCGGTGGAAGGAAACAAAAGCACAGGTGAACAAGAATATTAATGCGATGATAACGCGGTGCTTATTATCGCGCGCCGGTATATAATCGTTTAACTGTGAAATTAAGTTCGCCTACAAGGAATAACGTCACATTTTATTTGTCGCGCTTGATCTTAAGCGATATATTGTACAAACATATTATGCGTTACTTCTCCATTATTTCTTTTTTTTTTCTCCCACGTCTCTTTATTGCTCTTTCATCACTTCTCTTCGATATTTTTTATTAACGACGCGAAACCCCGCGAAATTTCTCTCGCGTTCCACGACGAGGTCTCACGAAGGTCGAAGTCGCGACGGCGTCATCCGGACGTGAAAATGCAACGTGAACCTTTGTACGTTTAACGTAGCGAGGATATTCCATATAGAGGATACTCGGCTACGTCAGCCACGTCTCGCTACATAATATCCGATTGCTTGCCAAGTCTGATTCCGTCCCCTATCTCGAGAAGATTCTCGTGTCCTCTGACCTCTTCGTCCTCGTGTCGGTTTGGTAATTCAATGCTTGCATTTTAATTCCTCACCTCTCTCCCCCTTTCCTCGTATCCTTCCATATCTAGTTACGGACGCTGAAACGACGCGAGCAATCGGATATTTCGAGCTTAATTCTAATTTAATGATTCACAGGGTATAGCACTAATGGAAAGAAAGCGAGTCCCAATTTTCCACGTAAACATATAACTTCACGGTCGTCGTAAATTACACTTAAAGAGACACGATTAAATATTAATTTATTTATATATATTAAATTTATATTTTATTATATATAATATTTAGAATAATATTATATATTTTATATCGTTATTATAATTTCACTATGCACGCACACATATGTTTATTTCGAAGACATTCTGCATCGATTGTGCTTCGCGGACGTCTCTGCAATATAAAAAAAAGAAAAAAAAAGAAAAAAAAAATACCACTGTCCCAACCTTCTGATTTGCACTCGCAAATTCTCGCGAGAATGGCGATGAAATCCGATAATTAATAACCTAGTATTTGTGGGTCAAGGTGGCGTCATAAAGGCGCGAGAATGCAACTCGACCCGCGTGTGCATAATACACGGCTCTCTATGAGAGAGTTCGTAGGACTCGCGGACGAACATCAGCAGCTTCTTGCTTACCTACATACAATATCCGATTGCTTCCCAGTGGCATTTCTGCCGGATGTGCTGCTCGCGTACGCCGACCTCTCCTCGTTTCTTTCTCCTTCTGCGCTTTGCTTTTCTTCTTTTTCTTTTTTTCATCGAGTAACCCGAGATGAATTCTCTTATTTTTCTCCGTCGTCAAGTGACGCGCTCGCTCGGACTCTACTAGGATAAGGAGCGAAGATTCTCGCGGATTCTAGCAAACATCGTTTAGTAGATGATTATATTAATCTCAGAAAATCTCGAAAATATCTCACAATTTTTCATTAAATTTAGACAAAGATAGGGGAGGATATTCTTTAGGGAAGGATGTCCTCCCAATTTTTTTGAATTCAAGTTTTTTTAAATGGTACACATTTATGGCGAGATAACTTTCGCATTTAAAAATAATTAATAGTTTGTTGTCATTATAGAAATAATTTTGTAGGCACTTTTTTTCTTAATGTGGCACATGGCGCGACTATACCGGGTTGCCTCGCGTTATTATCGGCAAACGCCGGAAATTCTGATAACGCCGTGTCCGTTTCCATGCTTCCCTCGTCGCCTTTATACTTCCTGCATCCTTCCTTCTCTTGCTCGTCGATGTTCCTTGATGTCGCATTTCTGGTTATTTTCATATTTTTATTTTAATATACATTCGTGTTCCGCGTCGCAACTCATAAAAAATGATGGATAATTATTAATACTTTAAGATTTATAATATTTATAGCTTATAACGTTCACGATAAACATATTATTTATTTCGAGGTATAAATTCGGAAACGAGGAATTTGCCTTTTTATAATTTCTCTATAGTAGTCGACTCTATGGAATTATTAAAAGACGGTAATGACTTCACTCTATATATTAAGCTGTCATTAAGAACGACCGTGTTGGAAAGTTGTTGACTTGAAGACCAAAGTTTCTTTTCGTGGAAACATTGGAAAATTACAGAAAATAATTTAGACTCCTGTGCAACGTAGTAATTTTTATTTCATAATGTTATTCTACGACGATTTTATTAGTTTCTCACTTTTTTCGTCGCGCAAGCGAAATAGGTAGAACCAAATGTTTTTTCACAATTTTTCTTTCCGGAATGGAGTTTACGCTCCACGTTTCGCTCGCGGTCCGAGAGACTATGCATATTCATAGTCACGTAATGTAGAAATGAGGGGGAGAAGGGTGGTACGCGCCGCGAGAGCCGACGAAACAATTGTTTCCGAGTGGTCACGTAAAAAGAGGCCACCGCGCAGATATGGTTACTACTCTCGTCGGAGACACGTGTGTAAGTGCTCTTTTTACCTGGCCGCAAAAATTGCGTCGCGTTGTGCGCCGGAAGCACGTGTACGGCTGTATTACGCATTTTTTTCGCTTCTGCGATGGAAGAGGAAAAGATTCGTGGGAAAAGCGAATGGTCACTGTATCTTGCTAAATTTATTCCGCACCGCGCTTGCACGTCTGCTTTTAACGCGAAGAAGAATACTTGCTTTTGCGAGAGAAATAAAAGTAGAAAATATTCACAAATAGAGACGAAGAGTATCATATATTTCTCATAAGAGAGGAATATGCTGATAATTATGATACTTTTTCTCGCACGTCTTTAAAGCGAGTATTTTTTGCACCTAATTCATTTACAATCGAATTAATGCAACACATTATGTCCAATTAAATTTCTCATTATTAACTATATAAGTAAATATATGTAAGTTTAATAATTAATTCCTCTTATAAACTATAGAATACAAAGAGTAGTGCGTGTATAAGTATCGTGTCATAATTATATTTTAGACACTTAATAATGCGATATCATTTAACTGCACTTAAACACTAACTGCGCTATCAAATATAACGTTATTAAGAATCATAGATATTATATTACACAATTTTATCGATCGTCTTATCTTTTCGAATGAACCATTACTGACGAGTCGACGATACATCATGCCATCTTAAAATCAACAGCACATCGACAATCAATTATTTTTCGATCTCCGCAACTGGTTCAAGATTAATGTTAAAATCTGCATATAATTAAAAATAGAAGAAATAGCGATATATACATATAGCGTTTTCGAGTGAAGCAAGTTTGATTACTCTGAGAACGATCATAAATTCAGTCTTGAATTACTAGATTAATCAATGAAATACTTTGAGTAAGCATTTGATTAATCAGGGCAAAGAATCTTATACTTTAAAGCCAAAATAACGGAGAATACACTTAATGTTATTTATATTAATCAGATTTAAAACCCATTTTTGGTCGAATATATTTATTCAAATTGAATTTAATCGCTCTCAAGCGATTAAACCTGCTTTACTCGAAAACGCTAATATATATAAAGAAATGCTATCGCGTGTGCGTGTTTTGCGACGCGATTGCTTGATTGTTCTGAGAAACGCAGTGTGAATGTGAAAAGCAGTGCACAACATCGAGGCGGAGTACTTTACGGAGGGCCGCGAGTGCGTGAACTGCGGCGCGATTTCCACACCCTTATGGCGTAGGGACGGCACCGGGCATTACCTCTGCAACGCATGCGGTCTCTACCACAAGATGAATGGAATGAATCGTCCTCTAGTTAAACAGCCACGCCGCTTGGTAAGGAAGGCTTCGCGCGACGTACGTCCTCCTTCCTCCCTTCGCCCCGTCATCGCGATCCGGAATTAACGGGAACGGAACGGTCTGACGAAATCGTTTGCTTTATTAATTTCACAGTGATCTTTCTTAAAGCCTTTTATAATAAGAGATCCTGGGTGAAACCTGGACAATTCTGATTTCCGATACCGTTCCGGTCCCGTAAAATCCCCGGATTAATCTGCAAGGTACATTCGAAAGGGAGAAAGAGACGAACGGAAAGAAAGAGAGAGAGAGAGAGAGAGAGAAACATAAGGGATCCTTTCTCGCTTGTGTTCTTGTTACTGTCCAGGAGCCTATGTGGAAATTCGCCCGTGATGTTCTGCCCTTCCGTAAGTTCGAGCGATCGCATTCTTTCCTCTCCGACTGTGATTCTACGAAAGGATCGGCGATGCAATGGGAAAAAAAAAAAAAAAAAAAATTAGCCCTCGAGACTTGTCGCATCGCCGTGTATGTTTAACGCGCACGAAAGAAACACCCCTAACGTATGGCCTCATGTCTGTTTCAGTGGCGGACCAGGGCAATTTCTACAAAGACTCTCTCTTCTGTGGGTATAGTGGCGCCCGTCGCGTCCTCGCGGAGGAGAAAACGAGCCGTCGTTTGGTAGGTGTCATCCTCCCAAGTCAGCATTCTCTCTCTTTCTCTATCTTTTCCTCTCTTTCTGTCTAACAATACGGTACTGTATCAGTAATGATATTTTTCTCGTGTTTCTTTCTCTCTCTCTCTCTCTGTCTATTTCTATCTATCTCTCTCTCTCTTTCTATTTTTCAATCTATTCCTACGCATTCATCATCAGCATTCCCTGTCCCGTAGTTCATCGCGTTTCCCATATTGTTCTTCAGTTCATTATTTTCATTGATTTTTTACCAAGTACGGGGTATAATAAATATTGATTGATTAACGATTGCAATAGCACTTTATCAATATTTTTAAATTAGATTGACGCTTTTAAAAAATAGTGTTATTTAATCAAGTGCGTGTAAGAATAGAATCGAGGGATAAATGAGATTTGTATTTAAGAATCAATAATTAAAATTACTAAGATTCAATAACTATAATTGAATTATAAAATACTAGTACTAAAAATATATGCTAGAGAATTTTTTTCTATAAACGGTTAAGAATCGACGAATGTTCTTCCCATCCTGGCTTTCCTTCAATCTCGTGTAACGTCGCGCTTTCATCAATCATCATTACGCTAAACGCCAATCGATTATCGTCGACGAAAACAGTCTTCTCGATTGTTTTCGTCGTCGATGACACGTTTTTAGCAGGTGATACAACTTTCGAATTGTAAGCCCCGAGGTGCCACTATACCCATGGTACGAGCACTCTCTTCCTCCCCCCGAAATCACGTGCAGCCTGTTAAACGTAAAGTACGTCTCGCCTTTTTCGTGTCGTTCGTTCAATTTTTCAATCACACAGAATGATTCTTTGTGATGTTTGTTGAGTTTTTCCAGGCTCGCGCGTGATCTTCGGAGGGTGGCTCGCTTTTCTGCTCCGCGGTCTCTCTGCGGTACCTTGCACACAGAAAGCTTTCTAGTCACGGTAATCTCTTCCTGAGTTCGCATCAGAGTTCATTAGTGGCTCGACCTGGTGAAAGCGATTGATCATTACCACTTTTCCATTAAAAGTTTGAATATTTGAAATATTTTCCGACTTTCTTATTGCATACTAGCGTGCTTTCTCTGAAATTTACAATCCGGTTAAGTTACTCTCTCGTATCTTTCGTGTGTATTTTTGATATCGTATAAATTTTAATGTTTCGTATTGACGAGAGCGATTCTGTTGAGATAAAATCATACACCTTTTTAAGAACAAACCGCGATCCATTATCATTACGCTTTCATGAGACCCTCGGGATCATTTCCAAAGACAAATTTTTCTTTCGGTTAAAGGCAGTAAACAGTTATAATAATGATTTCCTATTTCTTCAGTCTGCTACGAGGCGCGTTGGTCTCTCTTGCAGCAACTGCGAAACGACGATGACATCGTTGTGGCGTCGCAACACACAGGGCGAACCGGTGTGTAACGCCTGCGGACTTTACTTCAAACTGCACGGCGTCAACAGACCGTCGACTATGAAGAAAGATAGCATTCAAACGCGCAAGCGGAAACCTAAGGGCGGAATGAAAACCAGCGACACGCCTCTCTCGGGCAACGTCGCGCAATGCGCAAATAACAACAATAACAATAACAACAACATCAAACTCGAGCCAGGTAAGCGTATCGAGTGTCTCTATCGATTTACCGCTCTCGTATCGTTAAAAAATCTTAAATAATTTAGTTTTTAATTTTTGTTAAATATTCTCTTTTTTTTTTTTTATTTTTTAATTTTCTCTTTCCTACAATTTTTCGAAACACTCTGAGTAAAACACAACATTCCCGTCTATTCCATTGTACTTAGTCTGTCTGTTGCAATTTGAGTCAATTTTTTGATAATTATTTTATTATTAACAGATACCTACAGCGATCTGAGGATGGCTCACACCGGCGTGTCGCAAGTGTCATACACGAGCAACATCTACGGTGGCGCTCAGAGTTCGAGCAGGATAGTGTCTTATCAGCCCACGACCACAAACCTATATTACGACATGATTAATTCGCAACAGCAGCAACAGCAATTGCTGGAGACTCATTCGCCCAAGATCGAGTGTCCGTCTTCACCTTGTGCTACGCGTTCGCCCGGAATGGTCTCAGCCGGTCAATCACCTGATCATCATCAGCTCACCTCGCCGCATATTGTCACCCTGGGCAGTCCGTCGAGTAGCCCAGCTGGTCCTAAGATTATGCTGGACAACGGACATCTTGAGAGGTCTACGGTTGTGTCAATATCATCCTAGAAGCTGTTCAGAGAGAAGCTGGACAGCTCTTTGGGTTGCCACAGCCATTATATTTCTTAAGAGATTTAATGATATATATTTATATAATATATATTTATATAGTATATATATTTTTTATATATTTATATATATATATATATTATATATATTTACACCATATACATTATATATTTATATATTATTAAATTTTGCAATCCACATAACCCAATATTAAAAGAATTTGTTTTAATTTGTGCAATAATCTTTTGCACAATATCCTTTTTCTTTTTAACCAGCGAAATAAGCATCTCATTAGGCTTTCTTACTTATCTACGCGCATTGTGATACGCGAAATTGAAAGTTATATATCTTTAGAAATCGTGTGTATAAGAAAGCAAGAAAGGAACGGTTGTAAATATGCGTTTTAAAAAGTTTTAGCATAAATTTTTCGGGAAGATATGGACTTTCCTTTGACAAGGAAAATGAATTGTTCTCTGTTACTTTTTTATTCAATCTTTTTTTTACCAAAGAGGACTTTACTAACGAGTCTTGCGAATCGACATCTAAGACAATACCAAATTGCAGAAAATATTGTTGTATCTGTATATATAGATATACATACATATATATATATAAACGGGAATTTATATGTAAGATTAGACGTATATTCTTATATATCGTTCGAGCGTAAGACTAGATAGATAAAACCATAAGGATCTTATGGCGGATATATAGTGCCTTTGTTATATATGATATAAGCGATATCACGTGAAAATGTTTAAAAAAAAATAAGAATAATGTAATACACAACTAGACAATAAGCATGTAACGATAATAGCATATATTAGACGAATGAACATATCCCTCTCCTTCTCCCGATGGCATCATAAGACTAATATATGCGACTATATAATATAATTTCTTTCCTTCCGTAGCAACGCATCGTATTTCGCAAATGGTGCAAATGTATCAATATATTTCATGTAATATATTTTTAGAATGTTGTATATCAAAGCATCAGTTATTTTTAAATAAAAAGGGATATTTAAAAAACGAAGCCAAGAAGCTTTACCGATGCCTTCAATTTATACGTAATCATATTACTTTTAAAATCTATATATAAGTTTGCATTTGAAAGACATTTAAAAATTTAGAAATAACTGAGATCATCACTAAAGTTAAACGATTTATATATATATATTGTTATAATGTTAATTATATAATTACAATGTTAATTATAAAGATAATAATGAGAAAGAAAATGACATATTATGACAAAAGAAAGGGCCGATACAATGTGCATTATCATGCACAATCGCGTAATATGAAGCGTCCTACTCATGTTGTTTCCTCAAACTTGCATCCGTCGCGTTGTTTAAAAGCCGGATAATATACTTATAGAATTATCAGGTTGGACTTTCCGAATCATATGATTAACACGGGATTTGCGCTGTTATATCCATAAAAACATTACCTAGCTGATGAGGCAAAGAGTCAGTGAACGACCGGAGGAAAGTTCATTCTTGTGTATTTTCGGCGATAATAAAATATCTCAGCTAATCTCGGTGCGAGTCACATATGCTCCCTCGCGTAGCAATGGCGTAGTTAACAGCGACTACGAAAACTTTATAATAATATCATTGTAGAGGGAGTTATCAGATGCTCTAATTAAAAAAATTATCATTCTTTAACATATTTGTTTTGTAATCACATGTAATTTCTACGGAATCCCCTGATTAATTCCCGTCTTAGAAAGTTTCCTAAAATTTGTAGGACTTGTTAAATCCAATCCCCTGTAGTGGTATAATTCTATTTTTTAATACATTATAAAAATAAAAATTAACGAATAAAATAATTGAAAGCATAACTTGTGTCATTTATTTATTTTTTATAATAAAGGCGTTTTACTATTTAATAAAAAGATATACAATTGTTCGTTACATATATAAAGAATAAATAACACAATTTATGCCCAAAATAACACGATTACGCTATTGCTGCATTTGGAGCAATAACACACGTTGAATCGTCGCCTTAGAATGATGTCTCACCTGATCCGCTTATCAGTGGATAGCTCGGTGTATGCTCTGTAACCATGACAACAGTCATACCCCAAAAGCTTCATATCCCTCCCTCCTGGCAGGCAGGTGATAAGAGATAATCCGGGCCGAGTATACCTGTAGATACACATCGCGCGGACGCGCGCTTGTACACGGCAAGGTAAACCGATCCCCTCAGCACAGGGAGCTATACGAAAATAACTTGGGATAAGAGAATAATGAACCGCGTGAATATATATATATATATGATATATAAACGTGAATACGCGATAGAGATAAATGCGTCGAGGATAAAACTTTCATCTCGTAAAATCACAAAATTTAAATACATCTTCCTTTAGTCCTATATAGAGGGAACTGCTTTGTAATAATTAAGTTTTAAATCTCTGATAATTATCAACCATTGATAATTAAGATTTACACCGATATCACTATTTATCAATTCGCTAAAAAATAAATTCTTGAAAATTGGAAAAGTATCAGGAAAATAGAATGAAGTGGCATGGACTAAAATTCCAAGAATCGCCATACCAAAAATTTCTAAAATTTTTCTAAGTATATTAGAATACATATTACAAAGCGCGCGCTACATGCGTGTCATTTATTTCTGTACGTCATGTTTAACAAACCACAATTTGAAAAAATTCCAAACAAAAAAAATGCGAGACGTTCCGTATATTGCTAAATTTCTCTTCTACACGTGATTGCGACAAATATCGGAACATAATATGTCATGATCATTATAATTAACAATTAATTAACTCTTAATGAACGATAATTGTATCACGACAGGCAAGATTGTGTGTGTGTTTCTCACGCGTATTCAAGGCATACATATCTAGAAAATAAGAAAAACGATTATTAGAATTGGAATTTAAAAATTCCAAAAAATAAATTATATATTATATAATTATTGATATTTTTTTACATTATATTTTTTGTTTTCTGTGTTTATTGTAATATTATTGTGGAAATTTTCAGAGAGAATAATAAGAAGAAATAGCAAATTTTAATAAAATCAGTTAATAATAAAATATTTAATTTAGATAAATGATATAGATATAAACAAATTTAATAATGATTATGATTGAAATTGTATTATATTTATAATAATCCTTAACGTAGTCTATAATTATGAATTATAAAGCATGTTATCTAGAAAATCTCATGTAGAATTTTTGACATGAGCTGAATGCTGGAAAAAAAAAATCGTTGGTATAGTTATAGATCTTCTCATTGATAAATCTCATCGTTACTTAACCTTCCAAAAATTAATCTTTTATTCTACTAATGACATTGCCAGGGAAATATTGTATCTCATAGACTGTCCAAATAAAATGATTGTGAAACTATATATGATTTTCCGCGCGCTCCAGTTATTATTTTTACGTAGGTATTATATCTTATCAACGTTTTTTGACATCCCAGCATTCTTTTTCTTATAAAACTGAGATTCATGCTTTGTTCAATCGATAAATAAATATTAACAATTTCTATCTCCTGATGCTTCGAGAGAATAACTGTTTGTCTCGGTTGTTTCTTAAAGAAAATATTATTGCTATTACTTCAACTCACCGCTACAGCTTTCGTAACGACGACACCGCGATGAAGGGGCGGCTGAAGCGGGACGATCGGGGGAGACCGATACCAATATGGCAGAAGGGAGCCCAGCATGGCAGTCATCTCCTAATCATCGTCAGTCAATATTTGACGGGCTCGCGGATCAAATCGAAGCTTCGATCTCGCGCTACCAGACGGCAGCTTCAACGACGATCATCGAGCGACGACGACGACGGCGACGATCACGACGACGACGACGACGACGACGACGACGACGACAAGAGCAGCAGGCATTCCTCTCGCACTCCACGTAGAAACGCACCTGTGTCAAGCGCGCGCCGCGTGCGTGTCTCGCTCACAGGCTCACTCGCGAGAATCGAACGGAACAGCGCGAGAACGAGGAGCGAGCTCCGAGAACGTCAAGAGTACCTCGTGGAGTTTGTGACGATCAGGAACCGCAATCAGGATACAGACGGTGCTTTTCTCCTCATATTCGAGCTTCGTCGACTCGTAAGTCAAAAGTCTTATCATTCTTATCCGCGCGATTCCACGCGCTCTGACAGAGACCGGTGTCGCGACGCCGCATCTGTACATTCATATATGATCGCATTTCAATCATTAATTGTCGTTGAATAATTAATTTTTTTCTGCTTGTAATATAACTAGTCGACTGTATGTATGATTTAGAAATAAGTCGGAGCGATTGAATGATGTTAATAGGAACCGCATTAGACGATTTAGATAGCAACGTATTTTTAAATTTGATAATTTTCTCTTACGTCTATCTAGATCAAAGCGATGAACCTTATTAATTTTATAATATTAACGCATGAAAGCGTTCTTCTTAATTAACATTAATGCGGATTGATGTGTAATATTATAAAATTGCCGTCATTGTAATTTCTCTAAGGGTCCTTCAAATATAAGACTGATGTGCTTTATTAAAACATAAAAAGGACATTAAGGTATAATAAAGTCTAAAGTCACACTCGTGAGACTCGTGTAATCGTCGATCGAAAAGTAGTAAATCGGCTAACGCGATTTCATCTGATCGACGTTTAAGAGAAATAGAGAGAGAGAGAGAGAGAGAAACGCACGTGAGGAGCCGAAAGCGAACATCAGTGGTAACGCGAGCAACGAAAGAAACACTTGTGTTTTATATTCGAGTCTCTTCGACACTTGTGTTTTGTACCTGGCCCGCTTCCTCTTCTTCGTCAATGCGATCCCGAAATCTAGACACGGGCCTCATCGATTCATCCGTCTCACTTTCTCTCTTTCTCGGCGACTCTCTACCTCTTCATTTTTCTTGAAAGTTTCTTTTTCAAGGTCTTGGTTCACCGTCACATTAATTTGTCTGTGTTACCAAGACGTGTCGCACGTGCGTACGAAACTCGCACGAGCAATATATTACCGCTATGAAAAATTTATATATCTCATGGATGCGAGTAATTATTATAGAGTGTAACGATGGTTGCATAAAGTCGGACTCGTGATGAATTAAATAACGTATCAAAGTTGGTTAATATTATAATGAAAATTAATTTTACTATCATTCAAATGATTAAATTTACCGTTCCTTATTTTTAGAGGATTAATTAGATAAAAAAATTAAAAAAAAAAATTCTTCCGAAAAGTATTCAAAAGTTTGAAGCTGATATAAAACATGAGCTCATTAAAGTATACGTAATTTCCAGTTCATACAAACGATGGAAAGTATTTGCAGACTTTTGAGTTCGCTCTCTCTCTCTCTTTCTCTCCATCTCAAGAGCAAATTAATTATTTTAATGTTTAATTAATTTACCTGCATCTGTTGCTTAAGAACGAGACGTATCCCAAACGACGGTGTCCAGATTGTTCGATTACAACGCCGACAGCGCAAATATTAAATCGATAACTCAAGTTAATCCAGTGATGTGCTCGCGACGGAAGATTTCAATGAATAAATACTCTCCGACAAGGCGTGCCGCGTATGGTGACATTCTTTTTTTTTATAAACTTAATAAAATTTTAAGAATCGCACTCACAATTTAATTAACTCACACTTATCTCCTTTATTTAGGCGCATATTGCATTTCTCGACGGAATCTTGTACTCCATCATTTAAGCTTCTTTCAATTCATACTCCAATTATTATACGCTCGAAATGTATCTCTCTCTTGACACTACCTTCAACTTTTTATTTTCACAAAAATTTACAGGAGCTTTCTTCGATTTATCATCGATTACATGTCACAGCCGATCTCGAAAGACATATTCACTATCAATCGTGTCTGCGCCCACACATACATATCATTTATAAGAACAAAATAATTTTTCATTGCGTACGAATTTTCTTTCTCGATACGAATTCGTTCCCAACGCGCTCGATCTTCATATAAACACGATTCATCGATCCAAATTAAAGTCTCGTTGTCACCTGTTGAGAATGCAGATTCGCGCGACGCGTTTGACATCGGTGTTCCTTGCGATGTCTGGCACGAAACTATCCATCGCCAGGAAGAGCGATATCCCCCGAGAGCGCAGATAATATTTTATTAATCATTAAGCACATAGCCGCCGTACATATAAGATAATGGGAATAATATCAGGCAATGACGATAATACTGTTTGTCGTGCACGTTAATTATTGGTCCTCTCGCGCCGCGCCGTCGGCTCTTTGCTCCATTATCGATCAATTTATTCGAAATATTGGCAAAGTTTATTTTGGAAAAAAAATAAACTTCGTCGCGTGGATATGTCACAAAAATCAGGAAATGATAGCAATTAGCGATTTTTTGTTGATTTCGCTTGTTCAAATAATTTGAAAGTCTCAAGATTCGATACGACAGTGGCAACCGCGAGAGATTCTCTTTTAAAGGCATATTTCGGCAAATTTGAAATATTTATGAACTATTTTTTTAAGAGAATTTAGATTGCATAAGTTTTTTAAGAATTTCTTTATTTGCAACGCAGTTTGCAATTAAATATCTCGATACAAGAACACGCGAACAAAAATTAAAATTCTGTGGAAAAATCCACATGTAAAATTTGATCGAAAAATAATGTACTTTCATCGACCAACTCAATTGTATCTCGAAATCTCGTATAAACTTGAATTACTTGAAAATTATAATTTGAAACACTGAGCAACATACAAGACAACATACATTAATAGGGACGTTACACGTATTAATAGGGATTTAGCAATGATATCGCTTGTAAAGATGGTGATGGAAAAAGCGGCGCTGGCTTTAGTTCCGAATGCGAGAGCCCAGTGTAAATCATATTTTTTTCAAGGTCTCGTAACGTTCCATTCGTAGCCAGGCGATCGAAATACAAATATTGGAATAAAAAGTTTCGATCCCGCCGCTGCAGAAACGCAAACATCGGCATGGCGGTATACGACGCTCGTGTCTCTTTTCTTCAAGAAACGATGAAGGCAATTCCTAAAACTCTGTAATTTTCTCTGTTTTTTTTTGCGGTTGGCAATTTAATTACTATTTAAAAAAAATCAGTATGGATAACTCTGTGAGTACCTTATAGTTATCGTCCTCTATTTTCGAGCTCATTTTTCGGATACTTTACGACGAACGAGCACACTATATTTGCGACGAAAATAATGAGCGTGAAATTTGTTTGCACGGCGCGGTTGTGGCGCGATGTTAATCCCGTCGACGTTAAAATCGAGACAGCTCTGTCTCTCGTTGTAAATTTTAATAATTGCGCCGTAAAACCTTCCTCATCTTTGCACGCGTTGCGAGATGCGAGCGCGTCGTTAAACACGCGCCGATTGGGCCATAAAGGACTTGTAACGCTCGCCATTTTGATGCACGGGCGTGCACTATGCTTGATTAAAACGATGACAAATTGTAATAAAGTTTTATTGGCCTCTTAGTATTCAATGAGAGACAAGACGTCAGCCTTAGTGCTGTACTTTGGAAATTTTTCCTGATAATCGTTAAATCAATCTTTATCAAACTATGATACTTTGGAAATTTTCCCTACTAGTTGTTAATTTCTGTAGCAGACTATCATGTCGTACAATTTTTCGAGAGAGAATAGTTTATTGACGAAATTTATTTTGGTACCGTTGAATAAAGAGAGAGAAAATATCTTAATTTGCGGACCTTAATTACAAGAAGATAGAATAATCAAAGTTGAAGGGATATAATAAAAATGAGAATATTGATATTTTTATTAAAATTCCTATATTGGTCGGATAAAAAATATAATTAAAGGAATATTCGATGATTTTTGGACACCGCGTATATCAGAATTCTTTGAACTGCATGATGTCAACGTGCAAAAATAAGACATCATTTTCACGTAGATTCTCGGTGATACGGATTCTCACGTACACACGCGCGCGCAAATCATGCTACCTAATATCTCTACACACACACGCACACACATACTTAAATTTTTCTCATATACGATGATAAGGGGTTTCTACGTGGCTGATAAAGAAAATGGCCTCGACGCGTTCGCGCCTCGTTTAATGACGTAAATCCTCCTCGTGTTCGCTCGCAATTTTTCCTTCCGTCGTGTTTGCGTCAGAAATATACAAAAGTTCATCACGAATCAATTTCCAGGCAAAAGTTGATGATATATTATTCTCGATACACATTATGTATATGTCATTATCTCTATTTCATACTTTGTAGAGTATCATTTTTTCGTGAGACACTCAAGTTCTTCGATCTACTCCTCACTTCGAACATAAATATGTAGACTTTATATGTTTCATCCTCAAATACGTCAAATAGTAGATTTTTTTACGAGAATCTGAAAGATTTATTTCTAAGAATTATTTACACATTGCAATTATTCACACACACGTTTTAACAATTTTCCTTAGAGAGCTATAAGACGAGCACGAAAAAGATATCGTGTCAGCCTCCCCTTCCTGCTACATTCTTTAGGATTACACACTCGAGTAGATCTCGCGCAATGCACTTTGGGTTAAACGTACGTTTCGCAACCCGAGTTCTCGTCGTGAATCCACGGATCGGTGCGATTGGAGGTAAGTAAGAACGGCCCTACGCGCTCCTGGCGGACCCGACGACTGAAATTATCATTTTAGCTGATATACTAGCTAATGTAAGGATGCAGTTTTATCTCTTATTATCATGGGAAACGAGATAAATCGCGATAGTGCCGTTTATTTTGACAGCGTGGCGGCACCTCGCGCGCCTCCCCATCGGCGATGTTCAGCTTGACGCTGCGCGTTTTATGTATCATCGCTCGGGTGGTTTTTCGTCTCATCTCTTTTACTCTTTGCCTGTATCTACATAATCACGCATTCTCGAATTTTGTCGCATAGATTATACGATAAGACTACGACAGAAAGCAATCGCAGACAAACGCGCGAAACGCGCGTTGTCTCCAAGTGTCAGAAAGAGATCTTTTTCTCCATCATTTTTAACCCATATTAATTTGGCATTGTAAAATGGCAATATTATTAAATTATGCGGATAATTTTTATTCAATTGTGGCATTATATATTGATTGATAAAAATCTCTTTAATTTA